GCTTCCGCGTCCCCGTGCCGTCTCCCAAGTCTCACTCTCTTCCTTCCGCACCCCCAGCCGGCTCAGTTCGGGGAAGCTGCAAGAGTTCGGCGTGGGGGATGGCAGCAAGCTGACGCTGGTGCCCACGGTGGAGGCTGGCCTCATGGTAAATGGCCGCTCGGGGCGGTGTGGCCTGGGGGCCTGGGCACAGCGGGCAGCCCCCTCCCACATGCACTCTTATAGCCCCTGTCACACACTGCCTGGGACCCCCCCCCCCCCTAGTTCTTCCCAGCCCATCCCAGCCAGCAGGGCCCGCTGTCAGAACCCCCTCTCAGGCGTGTGTCCCCTCCCTCTCTGTAGTCCCAGGCCTCACGGCCGGAACAGTCGGTGATGCAGGCCCTGGAGAGCTTGACCGAGACTCAGGTAAGACCCTTGCTGGCCCCTACTTCACCAGGGAGGGGGACGCCCATGGGGACAGACATGGCACCACTAGGAACGCCAGGGGGGCCATTGGTGGCCCCAGCAGGTCTGTGGGCAAGGGGAAGGGATGCCCCGCCTTCATGCCAGCCTGGCCTGGTCACCCTGCTTCCCTCCACCCCCACCAGCATCACCACCTGACCTTGAGGGCTTTCTCTCCCACGGTGGCCACTGTGGGGGAGGGGACAGTGCTTTCACAAGCAACTCGTCTGTGGGGTGACCTTGGCCCATGCGCGTCCCCAGCCCTGCACGCCCCCGCCGCACCCACTGCGGCTTTCCCAAAGTGCCACCGAGTTTCTTCTTTTTTTAAAAAAAAATCTTTTCTGGGTTGCGGAGGGGGTGGGGGTGCGTGGAGAGGGAGACAAGGGAACGACAGGCCTGGGTGATACCTCCTTCCGCCGCCTGCTGTGACCCCTTTGTGGAGGGTGGGGAGTCACCTCGCACCCCTCCCCCTCTGCCCTTTGTTCTCAGCCCCGAGGGTGAGGGGGCGGGGCACAGACAGGATGTTAGGGAAATATTTAGTAACCTGGAGGAGGCAGCGCAGGGGGCGCCATGCTGGCCCCCACCGGTTCCCGGTTTTGTTGCGACTTTTTTTTTTTCCCCCCCCTTCCTCCTTCCTTCATTTTCGGGCGGTGGCGGGCCCTCCCCCTGCGTAGGCCTGGCCACCTCCTAGGCGGCTGACACAGGCCTTGGCAATCCCGTGGCTGCCAGGGTGGGGGAACAGGCGAGGGGGCGGGAAGGTTCCCGGGCCTCCCCACCAGCCAGGCCCTCGGGAAACCTGCTCGGCCGCTTCTCTGGAGGAGGGTTCTTGCTTGCCTCTGCGCCCAGGCCACTTGCCCCCTCCCCAGCAAGTAGGATCCTGCCTGAGGCAGCCGCTGTGGAGGGAGGGGGCCCTCAGGAGCAGGGTGGTCTGCCACCAGGTTGGGGGGAGCTGGGGGTCCCGGGGGGTGGCTGCACGTGACTTCCTGGGGCGACTGTAGACAGAACTCTCCGGGCGCTGGGGGAAGGCTGCGGTTGGCAGGGGCCTCTGGCGGGCTGGGTTCACATCCGCCCCGGGTGCCTGCGTCAGGAGGTGGGGGGGGGGTGCTGGGTGGAGTGACTGGGCGCCCCAGGGCCGCTTCCCTGCCTGGCACAAAGTCATGCCTGCCGTCCCCAGGGAGGAAGTTGCAGGGTGGGGGGGCCCCAGCTGCTCTTGGGAAGCCACCCCTGGGCCCTTCCTGCAAGGGGCGTCTCTGGGCTGGGGGGGGTCTGGCAGCGGGGTAGGGCCCTCGCCCTGCCATCTCCTCCCCCTCCCCACGGCCCCCTTGCAGAGAAGGAGCTGGGTGGAGAGTCGGGAGGCAGTCTGTTCTGAGTCATCCCAGCTTGTGTCACTTCTCAGAAACCTCCGCCCCCCCATCCCAGCCCCTGGGGAGAAAAAGACACTGGCCAGGCCCCAGAGGAGGAGTGCCCCGAAACCGCCAGGGCAGGGGGGCAGTGCACTACCACCACCCCCCACCCACTACAGGCCCACAGCAAAGGGGAGGCAGATTTGAGGGTTAATTTTAGGCAGAGTGGGGTTGAGGCCCTGGGGGACTTAGGCCCCAGGGAATAGGTCAGGGCCCCCTTCTCCAGAGTGGCGCCGCCCCTCAGCCTCTGCCCCGCCCAGGACAGATAAATATTTATCTTGAGAAAGCAAAGGTTAGGATGGAAGAATTTGTACAGGAATTCCACCCACTCACTGGCTGGGTGGTTTAACTGGGAGGGGGCTGAGGCAGGCCCCCCTCCTGCCGTTCACGGGCGTAGAGAATATGGGGCCAGAGAGGGTGGAGCAGCTGTGTGAAGTGTGGGTTATTTGAGGGCAGTCACGTCCAGTTGGGCCCTGCCCCCTCTGGCCTCAGTTTCCCCTTTCAGAACCAAGTTGGCCAGGGAGGGCCAGGCCCTCATCTGACCCGCCTCTGTCCCCCCCCCCCCATGCGGCACCCAGGCCGGGCCGGGCTGGCGGAGGCGGCTTCCGGAAATATCGATTCATTTTATTTAAGCGTCCGTGGCACCGACAGGGACCCCAGAGCCCAGAGAGGGGCGGCGAGAGGCCCCAGGTCACGCAGCGCGGGGGGGCTGGGCTGGGCCGGGCTGGGGGCGTCACATGCAGGGCCCTGGGGCTGACAGGCTGTGCTCCTTCTGCAGGTCAGTGACTTCCTGTCTGGCCGCTCGCCGCTGACCCTGGCGCTGCGCGTAGGTGACCACATGATGTTCGTCCAGCTGCAGCTCGCCGCCCAGCACGCCCCTCTGCAGCATCGGCATGTGCTGGCTGCAGCTGCAGCCGCTGCAGCCCGTGGAGACCCCAGCACAACCACCCCCGTGACCTCACCTTGCCGGCCCGTGTCCAGTGCTGCCCGCGTCCCCCCAGTGCCCAGCAGCCCTGCCCCTGCGTCCCCCTCACCAGTCACAGCTGGCTCCTTTCGATCCCACGCAACCTCTACCACCTGTCCCAAGGTGAGTCTGGGTGAGGGCTATTCTTGGAACCTGAACAGGTGAACTATCTCTAGACTCTGGGAGGGAGTGGGCTCAGAAACCCAAATCTGTCCCTCACTCCAGGTGCCAGTCCCAGACCTCAGGGTGATGGCCTATCCCTAGATTCTGGACTGGGGGACTCTCCCCAGGCCCTGGGCTGACAGGCTATCTCCAGACCCTAGATTACTGGGCCTCCCTTCATCCCTGACTCCTGGGTCATCTTTGCATCCCAAGCTCACAGCCCTTCTCTCTGCCAGCAGATGGACTGTTCCCCGCCGGCCAGCAGCAGTGCCAGCACCACATCCACCCCTGGGGGCAGCCCCGCCCCCCGCCCCCGCAAACCTGGCGCTGTCATCGAAAGCTTCGTGAACCACGCCCCCGGGGTCTTCTCAGGGACCTTCTCTGGTAAGTGTCCCGGCACACGTCTGATCTTGTCTGCGTCTGCATCATTCTCTGAGTGCGTGCACGGGATCAGACACACACCCTCACCAGATCCCGAGGATCTGTGTGCTTGCTCATGCCCGCCCCAGGAACACCCACCTACACCCGTGTGACCAAATGTACTTCTGAGGTCAGTCCTGCGTGCACACGCGTGGCTGCACGTCCTTAGGAGTTCATGTGTACCCTGCAGGTGATTACATATAGACCACATACGTGACCACATACTGTGTGCTCGCTTACACCCCCTTTGGGAACCTGTACACACATGATCATACACACTCACGAAGTCCTGCCTCCACCCCAGGTGATTGCACGCCGAGTCCACATAGGTGACCACGTGTCCGTGCGCTGATTCGTCTCCACCCAGAGTCTATACAGTCATACGGTCACGTGTCCACCGCAGGCGGTTTCACGCTGAGTCCACAGATTGGACGCATGTCATATGCTTGTCTGCCCCCTTGGAGCCCCCGCCCACACATGCGTGTGAGCCAGCACACGTATGTGCTCACCACCCTCCCTCCACTGCAGGCACGCTGCACCCCAATTGTCAGGACAGCAGCGGGCGGCCGCGGCGTGACATCGGCACCATCCTGCAGATCCTCAATGACCTCCTGAGCGCCACACGGCACTACCAGGGTATGCCCCCATCGCTGACCCAGCTGCGCTGCCACGCCCAGTGCACGCCCGCGGCCGCACCGGCCCCCGACCTCGCCCCCAAGTCTACCTCCTGCGAGAAGCTGCCCGCTGCGCCCCCGGCCTCACTGCTGCAGGGCCAGAGCCAGATCCGTATGTGCAAACCGCCGGGCGCGTGCGCACCTGGTAAGTGTCCAGCGCCGTCCGCTGTCTCAGCACCCCCCCTCTGTGAGTTCCAAGCACGCAGCAGCTGACCCGCCGGGGCTGGGGGCACCAGCTGCCGCTTCCCCCACCCGGCTCGGGATGCAGATAAGGGAAACGTGTGTGCTAGGACACAAAGTGTCCTTGTCCACTCTCAAGGGGGTCCCTCCTCACTTCCTTCTCGCCCCCCCGGGGGGCCCCTGTCCAGATGGCGTTCGGAGCAGCTATGAATGGCCTAGTCAGGCCTGGCAGGGTGAGGCGGGGGCCAAAGCCCCCCCCCCCCCCTCGTGGGGGACTTGGGAAAGGCCCAGACGCCTCCGCTCCTGCATGCAGGCGGCCTGGGCCCCTGACGATCTGGCTGCTCCCCTGTCTGTCTGTTGAACAATAACCAGTTCTCCCCAGTGAGCACCCCGGCAGGCAGGAGTTAGGGTCCCCACTTCGTAAGGGAGGGGTGGGTCTCCCCCTGGGTCACGAAACAGCAGGAGGGCTCAAACTCCCGATCCTTCACTCAACAACCATTTTCTCGGGCCAGGCCCTGGGCGGGACCCTGGAGACACAGGGGTTGGGGAGGCAGCCCCCGCCCCCCACCCATGCCCTCCCGGAGTTCCCGGTTCAGCTGGGAGTAGAGCAGTGAGCAAGGAGATGAACAGGAGTCAAGCTGGCGTGCTGAGCCCACTCTAGGCACAAGACTTGTTTCCTTCTTTATCACTTTTATTGTGGCAAAATACGTACAACATCAAACTGCCCATTTTAGACACTTCTAAGGGCACAGTTGTGTTGTAGTAATTGGGTGCAAACAGTTAGTGCTCAGCTGCTCACCAAAATGTTGTTGGTTTGAGTCCACTCAGAGGCACCTTGGAAGAAGAAAGTCCTGGTGATCTACTTCCAAAAAAACCAGCCACTGAAAACCCTACAGAGCACAGTTCTGCTCTGACACACATGGGGTCGCCATGAGTCGGAATCCACTCTGCAGCCGCTGGTTTTAATGACTGCCACCGCTATCTGTTTCCCAAACTTTTGCTTCTCTCTAAACAGAAGCTCCATGCCCATCAGTAAGGCCCTCCTCCCTCTTCTGCAGCCCCTGGCAACCTCTGATCTACTTTGGTCTCTGTGCATTTGCCTGTTGTAACTACTTTTTATAAGTGGGATTATACACCGCATTAAGGAGCCCTGGTGGCATCATGGCTAAGCACTTGGCCGCTACCTGAAAGGTCCAGTGGTTCACACCCATCCAGCAGCTCTGAGAGAGAAAGACCTGGCGATCTGCTCCTGTTAAGATGACAGCCTAGGAAACCCTATGGGGCAGTTGTACTCTTTGGAGTCACTATGAGTTGGAATCCACTCCATGGCACCTGATAACACATGCTATGTGGACATCTGTGTCACTATAGCCACTTCTTGACTGTCCCCACGCCAGGGACAATGCCCAGGCAGACAGGCTGTGCCCAACACACCCGTGGCACTTTCTCTGAAGGTGGGGGGCCCTCGGGAGTCACAGGTCACTCCCTCCATTGCAGGTGACAGGCTGCGGCAGACGGAGAACCGTGCCACACGCTGCAAGGTGGAGCGCCTGCAGCTTCTACTCCAGCAGAAACGGCTCCGCCGGAAGGCCCGGCGCGATGCCCGGGGCCCCTACCACTGGCCGCCCAGCCGCAAGGCCGGCCGCAGCGACAGCAGTGGGGGCGGCGGCGGCGGCGGCTCCAGTGAGGCCGCTGGCCTGGGTCTCGACTTTGAGGACTCCGTCTGGAAGCCAGAAGTGAACCCCGACATCAAGTCCGAGTTCGTGGTGGCTTAGGAAATGGCACCCTCTCCCCTTGCGCCCCGGTGGCTAGGACGCTGGGAGGAGCCGCCGCCGGCGGTGCAGAGCCAGAACCGCAGGCAGCGCACGGAGAGCCCTCCCTCCCCGCGGTCCACGCTCACAGCCACCTTCTCTTCCTTTTTTATGATTCTCACCGTGGTTTCCCAGACGCCCGTGGACCCGGCTCCCTGCCTCCTCGTTTCCTCACACGTGCCCACCTCTTCCTCCGGCTCCGGGTCCCTTCCCGCCCACCCTCCCTAGCTCCAAATATGTAGCATCCTTCCAGATGGCTGAGCTGGGAAGGCGACAGGAAGCCGCCCCCGCCCCTTCCGCTCCGCCCCCTTCGCCACCTCCGCCCCATTCAGGTTTAAAGTCAAATTCTCGATGCCTCATGCACTTTACGGGGAGGGGAGGGGCCCGGAGACCCCCGTCCCACCCCCGCCGCAATCTTAAGGCCAGCAGGCCCGCCTGGGTTGAAAAGGAGAAATCCACACCTGGACCTCACCAGGTCACATGGGGACTGTCCTTGCCACACCTGCCCTTCTCTCTAGTCTCTCTCCATTGTCCCTGTTTTCTGTTTAAAAAAGAAAAAAAAGCAAAGCCGTTTCTGGGGAGAGGCCAGGGCCTGCCTTGGAGTTCAGGTGAGGACGTCGGGCCCTCCTGCCTGGAAAGGAACTGAGGGCGCGGGAACAGACCTCCCGCCTGGGTTCTGCACGGCCCACTCACTGTGCTATTTCCTCCTAAAACGCCACCCTCGGCCCCCACCCCTCTTTTTCTGACCTCCTGCCTGAGCTTGGGGTATTTATAGACTATCGATTTCTTGACTGAGCCAATAGTGGGTTGGGGAATCTCTTGACAACCCAGGAGAGCAAATGGCTGGGGGTCTGGAGAGAGGCTTCCCAGCCCTTCCTGAGGGACAGGGGATTATGGACGGCGCTTCTGGGCGGGGTACTCTCCACAGCCTGGAGGGGGAGGGGTGCTGAGCTGTGAACCCCTGGCCAGGGGCAGCGCTGTGTAGCATTAACCCCCGGGGGGTGGGGGGGTCGCTGCTGGTCTATTTTGGACCCTCCCCACTCAGTGCCCAGACCCTGGGGGTCTGCGGGATCCCCCGGGGCTGTGGGACAAACCCCTGACTGGGGCAATTTCAACGTGGGTGGACTTTTTTTTTTTTTCCAATTCACTTTTTTTTTTTTTTTTTTTTACTGATAATGGAGATGTTGGGGCCTGTCCCGGGCCCTACCTGTCCGTCTCAGTCCTGGCCACACCTGTTTCTGTGTCCTGCGCGCCCCATTCCCCCCACCTCCCGCTTGTCCCCCTCCCTGTAGGTAAGCCCCAGGTCCTCAACCCCCCACTTGATCACGTGTTTAAACAATGGTTTCAGATGTGAACATCATGTGTGACTGTAGCTTTGTAAATTTTTTTGTGGGGGGTGGGCAGGGAGGGGTCAGAGGGGTTAGGGGGTCGAGGGTTTCTTTTCGTTTGTTTTTGGCTTTTTTTTTTGTTTGTTGTTTTCCAAAAAAACAGAAAAGAGAAAAAAGGGGCGGGTTTGTTTTTCCGAATAACTGTCTTGGATTCCTATTTAAACGTGTGTTCTGTTTTGTTTTTTAAACAATTTTTAAATAACGTCTGTGCCTCCGCGGGTCAGAGGGCAGGGGCCCCAGGCAGGAGTGGCCCGCCCTCGCCAGGGCCCCCCCCCCAAGAAAGCATTAACCGCCCTCGGGGGTCGGGTTGTGGGGGTCCTGGCACCTCGCGTGAGTTTACAATATGAAAACATGAAGTTGAGAAAGGAAAAAAAACCTACAAACACCGTGATTTCAAGTAATAAAACAAAATGAAACAAGTGAAGGTTCGCCTGGTTTTCACGGGGGCCCTTGTGGGGAGGGGCGCTTGCCTTGGGGGGCTGTGGGGGAACTTGCCTGTAAGGGGGGGAATGGGCTTTGCCTGAGTGGGAGTGGTCTTGCCTATTTCCAAGAGGGGTCTGGGGTGGCATAGGGGCCTTGCCTGTTCTGGGGGGCTGGGTTGGGATGGGGCCGATTTTCCTGCCCTTGGGTTGGATGGGGGGGTGGGTCTTGCTCATCCTGAGAAGCCTGAGGTGAGGTGGCGGGGGCTGGGGTGACGTGAGGTGGTATTGCCCATCCCAGAGTGGGCGATGGGAAGTGAGCTCCCAGGCGACCAGCGGAGGAGTGGGGTGTGGTCTGGGAGTGGTTCCCACGCCCCCTCCCTAGCCTGAGGGGACAGGAAGTTGCCTGGGGGAGGAGCGAGGGGGCGGCTACTTCCCGGTACTAAGGCCGGAAGGCCCGCAGGGCGTGGGGGCACAGGCTTGCCCATTTACTGTTTGACCTGGGCGGGCCCCTTGTCCTTCCGTCCAGCCTCAGTACCTGGGTCTGTGAAATGCATTGTGCGGTCAACGAGAACGTAGGGCTCAGTAGCCTGTGGAGAAAGAGACCCAGCTGCCGGCTCTGGGCCTCAGTTTCCCCAACCACAGGGCGTGAGAGGCAGCTCTTGCTGTTTTTTTGCAGACTCAGCACTGTCTGGCTTGCTGCAGTGAGCTCACAGGGCAGGCCTCTGGTGCCGCAGATGGGTGGTCCCTGGCCCAACCCCGGCTCCCACCCCCAATCCTCAAACGGGGCTCAAGCCGGCGCCATGGGCTGGCATTCAAGGCCTCCAAGGCAGAGTCCAGCCTGGGTGACCCCTCCGGGTCCCTCCACAGCCACGCCCCAGCCTTGCATGCTGGTGCTCCCTGGCTCCCTGGCATCAAACCTCCAGGGCCTTTACCCAGGCTGTGCCCTATGCCAGGAACACCCCTCCCAGCAGGCCTTCTGGCTCTGCCTGGGAACTTCCCCAGTGGGCACCGCCCACCCCTCCCCCGGCACAGTCCTGCCTGTTTCTCTGCCCCAGCCCCTCTGCTGGCCCCTGGATTCCTGCTCTTTTCCGCCTGCCCCAGCCTGGGGCTCCCCAGGGCCTCCATGGGGCCCCAGCCTCAACCATCTTGGAACTGGGTAGAGACACAGAACAGCCATCATTATCCTTGATGTCCTTTATACCTGTATTTCCTCATATGACAGTCAAGACGACCTGAGAGATGTAATTATACTCCCATTTTATAGATGAGGAAACTGAGGTCGCATTGACAAGCCATTTGTCCCAGTGTTTGTGAAATTATGCGGCCCCCACCCCTGCCCAAGTCTCTTACATCTGCCTCACTGGAGAAACCCCCCGTCACTCCCAAGTCATCCTCCACCCACCCAGCGCCCAACAGCAGGAAGACAGAGGCCAGGTCAGGCTGACCCCTCCAGACCTCAGACCCCATTTGTCAGTGGGTGAGAGAATGGCCCCACGGGGCCTCAGGCAGGGCCACAGGGCAGTGCCTGCCGGTGGGAGAGCTCAGGTGGGAGCCCCTAGCACTGGAGGGTCTGAGGGGACTCGATGGTGCTCTGGGGGATCTGAAGGGTCAGAGGCTTTGCTCCGAGGGTCTGAGGGGCACGGTCCTGCACGGGGTCTAGAAGGACACCACCCTGGGGTGGGGGCTGTCTGAGCTGTTTGCTCCTCTGCCCCCTACGCCTCCCCAAAGCGCCCACGCCTGCCCCAGCAGGTGCCCTGGGGGCTGTCCGGGCCAGCTTGGCCTGAGCCCGGCCTAGGGGGTGCAGCGGTCGGAAGGGGTCACAGGAGGAGGTCATGTGTGAGTTGGGAGGCATAGAAAGGTAAACTGAGGCGCGGAGAGCAAAGAGCTGCCGGGATCACAAGGGGCGGGGCCGGCCTTGCACCTCCCGCTCCCTCCATTGAGAAAAAGCTGAATGGGAGGGGGCGGCCCCGGAACCCGCGGGGATGGAAACGCGGTTTCCAAGGCAACGCGCCTCGAAACTGGCCTGACGTCACCCCTTCCCCCGACCTCTCAACGGGAGGCCCAGACCACGCCCCTCCCGAACGGAGACGCCTCATTGGTGGCCGCGCAGTTCTCTTATCTGCACACCCAATAGCAGTGCAGAGTTGCCCCCGGGAGGCGGGACTTCATCCTGGCTGGGTCGAGTGCGCAAGCGTGAACGCGGAGGCACCGCTGTCCCCTCCCCCAACGTCTGCCAACTTGGGGGCGGGAGACGCGACGCAGCTCAGGGTCTGATGGCTGCGGCGGAGCCGGGACGGAAGAGGGGGCGTAGCTGGGGGCGCTGCACGTGGACCCCAGCACAGGCACGCTCACATGCACCCCTCCCTGCACGCCCAGGCGTTTCCTGCCGCCCTCGCCCCACCCTGCCCCCGCGTGCCCGGCACCAGGCTGGGGGAAGTCGGATTGGGGGATTCCACAGGGAGCAGGGGCTTTGCGGCTGAGGCTTTGTCAAAGGCGTAGGAGTTTGCCAACAGCAGGACGGCAAGGTGCCCAGCTCAGCATGAAAGCCGGGGGCATTTGGAGAGCAGCTGGGAAGAAAAAAAGCACCCCGAGTCTGTGACTTGAGGGATGACATGGGGACCCGGGGAGAAGAGCAGGTTGTGGGGAGCAGAGTCCAGTTTAGCCGAATCCGGGACATCCAGGGGGCGACTGGACCCTCTGCTGGGGCTTAGCAGAGAGCACTAATGGGAAGTCTGGCAGTGGCCAGGGTAGCGCAGGTGGACATGTGACCAAGGGTGCAGAGGTAGGTGGGCAGATGGAGCTGTGGTTTCGGTGGCTGGAAGCCCAGGGCGTTACCTGAAGGTGGCTTCGGTTTCACAGCCAAGTAGGAGGCCAGGGGTCCGCTGGGAGGGACAGAGATTCGGGGAAGGGGAGAAAGTTCCAAATGGTTGTCCAGGAGGTGGGAGGACCCATCAAGGGCTGGAGGCCGGCGGGGGGGAGCGGGGGGGGGGAAGTGTCAAGAATTCCACACATCACTTGCCACCTGGCTGTGGGCTTGGTCTTGAGCAGGACAGGGAGTCCACTCCGAAAAGGCCAGAGTGAACAGGGGTGTCTTTGCCAGGTGGGGGTGCATGTTGGCAAAAACCACTGGTCCAAGGCTAGACCCTGGGGCTAGCCTGGGAAGAGGGCTGGAGATAGATTTGGGCAGGGGCTGGCTGTGTGCACAGGTGTGGATGCCAAGTCGTGAGGGAGCCGGGCTGGGAGCCTCGGACCTGGTCTGTGACCTCACAGGTGAGCAGTGATCCTGCCTGAGGAGGCGGCTGTGGGCGGGCG